CCTCTGGAATTCCACAAGAGCCTGTACCTACAAATGCCGGCTCCCCGCCACCCGGAAGGGGGTTACTCACATAGGGGCTCCCAGGACGAGGGGGAGGCTGGCCAGCAGGAGTAGCAGCCGGCTGGGACCTGAGGCAGGTCCCATGGTGCCCGGAGAGCAGAGGGAGCGGACCGGAGCAGTGAGAAGGGGCGGCCTGAGCTGCCTCTTATCCGGCTCCCTGGTCCCCCGCCCCCCCTTCTCCCTGGGGCCTCCTCCCTCTCTGGGGCTGCCCCAGATTTCTCAATACTGTTTCCTAAGTTTTCAAGCCCTACAGCAAACAGTTTGTGGGGTGAGAAACTTGAGGGCATGGCGCCTCCTGACAACGTTTCTCCCCCTGCCCTGGGTCCCGGGGTCGACCCTGGCTGGTGAGAGGGGTTGTTAGTGTAACCTGCTTAGAGTGGAGGGACCCTAGGGTGCAGGGGGTCTGCTTTGCCAGAGACCAGGACCTCATCTCCAGCCCACTCTTGGCCCTGTGTTTAATTTCTACTTACCTTTTTTTTTTTTTCGGCAGTCCTTGGGATTGAATCCAAGGCCTTAGCACTGACCTGCATCCCAGCACCCCTCCCCCATTCCATTAAAATTTTTTATTTTTAATAGACAGGGTCTTGCTAAAGTCACAAAGCTGCCCAGTCTAGGCTGGAACTTGTGAGCCCCCTGCCTCAGCCTCCCAGGATTGGATTAGGTGTTTGACTGTTTTTTTAAGAAGGGGGTCTTGCTGTGTTCCGCAGGTTGGCCCCAAACTCCTGGTCTCAATCAATCCTCCTGTCTCAGCCTCTTGAGTAGCTGGGCCTGCATGTCTGTGTCATTGTGCCTGGCGCATGCCTTTATTAAACAGTTGTTTTTTTGTTTTTTCCTGAGTCCATTTTAAACTGGGAGCTAGAACCCTACTTCCGGAGACCTCCAAGTTGAGAAAAGGGAAGCAAGTAGGAGGGCCAGAGTCCAGCTCAGACATTCCCAGCTCCACCGAATGGTTACCCTGGTGGAGAAGACCAAGTCTGCATCTTGAGCAAGCAGACAAGGCTTTGTGGAAGGAGGGGCATTTCAGTTGGGCTTTGAAATATAGGTAGGAGTTCACTGTCCAGGTATGCTTGTTTTCTGGGGAAAGAGGAGCCTGGAGCTTCCTTTACCTACCCTTGTCAAAATGCCTGGTGCTTTAAAAAGTCATTGGTGAGGAAAGTCTCCTTTCTAGCTTTTCTAGCTATCTTACAGCCACATCCTCTTAGTCTATAATTGCTTTAATTAATATTATTATTTTGTTATTATTATTATTAGGTCCTGGGAATCAAACTCAGGACCTTGCACTTGCCAGGCAGGTGCGGGACTACTGAGATTCAACTCCGGCCTGTTTAAATTGTAGTTTTTTAAAGTTGTTCATGTGCTGGAAGGTAATGGATTCACAAGACCCAACACCTAAAAGTGCAGATGATAGTACAGAGGTTGTTCTTGCGCTGGCCCTTGGAAGGGACCTTGGTGCTTAGGAGCTCCGTGGGTTCCCAGGAAGTCCCAATACACCCTCTATACTCCCCCTTCTGGCTTCCCTGCGGCTCCCTGCTCTGCACTGCGGGCACATCCATCACTTTAGATAGCGTTCCGCAGCGGTGCGCAGGACGCTTCCTCTTTCCCTGCCTCACCTCCTGTCCCAGGGCGTGAAAGCAGCCAACTCCTGCTTGCTTTCGGATCTCTGGTGCCTATTAGCTGTGATCCGGCTGAGTTACTGCAACCTACTCTATGCCTCGGTTTCCCCAGCACAATGGGTTGTGATTACAATCAAAGGCTTTCTAGTGATTTCCACACCCATCAGCTTGCAGGAAGTTCATTGCCAATTTCCCCTGTGGCCTCTGGCCGAATTTAGGATTTTTTTTTTTTTTTTTGGTGCCAACCTCAGAAGTGAAAACTGAAACTCCGGTGTTTCCTTTTGCTGCTCTTTGCTACGAGGCCGCATTGTTACTCCCAGAACCCTGTGAGGAAGGTGCAGGGTCCCGATCCCTGGAAAGGTGATTTCCAGCCCTCACAGAAGGGGTTAATGGGATTTTTCACTGGTTTCCTGTAAACCACGCCTTTTTCCTGGCCCTGCCAGTGCAGGGGGAGGCTCAAAGAACAACCTGGCTCCTGTCTGCTGTGATTGCAACACCCTGGGAGAGGAGGAGGAGGAGGAGAGAGGGAGGAAGAAAATACTTGTTTGTTTGCAAAACTGAGGTTGGACTTTTGACATCGAGCCCCCTAGCTGCCCCCCGTGACTTCCTCTATTTCTACCTTCTCCCCTTCCCCCAAGACACCGATTTCCTGATTTCCTTAGAGCCCTGGTTTGACAGAAATTTGTGTTTTGACAGCAGTTCTGTCCCTTGGCTTCTGTCTTGCCATAAGATCTGGTTCCTCCTTTCTGGAGCCTCAAAGAAGCCGGCCGCAGGTTCCACACCGACCTGCGCAGTGGGAGACCCCAAGGGCGGGCAGGGAGGGAGGTGGGAAGGGGGACTCTTCAGCCCGTGACTCCCCCCGGGGACGTATGCTGGTGTCCAGAAGTGCTGGACGGAGCGGGAGGCGAGATGACCTAGCAGAGTGGGGAACCGGGATGTGTCAGGGGATTTCCACTGAACAGATCCACCCCGGCCAGCATTCCAGCACCAGGCCAGAGAGAGGGCAAGATCACCCGGGGCTTCATGGGATGTGGAGAGCGGACGTCTGCCGAGAAGATCCCGCTGGGTGTGGCGGCCCAGGCCTCTCCTCCGGGCACTCTGGGGGCCGGGGCGGCAGGACTGCAAGGTCAAGCTCGGCCCCGGCAACGTGGAGAAACCCTGTGTCAAAATAAACCCTAAAAAGCAGAGGCTGGGGATGCCGTTCAGTACAAAGGCACTGGTTCAATTTCCTGTTGCAAGCAAATGGCAGCAACACGTACAATCGGCCCTCTGCATTTGTGGTTTCTGTGGATTCGACCAACCACAGACAGAAGATGTACAAGAGAGAGACAGGAACCTGGAGCAGACGAACGGACGGCGGGGAGCAGAGCCGCGAGTCCCTCGGGGCCTCCCCGCAGGCACAGATGTCTCTGGGCCCTGAAGGGGCCCGGAATGTCACCACCGCGCTTCTCAGGACTAGAGAGAGCCGAACCTCGCAGATCAGAGCAGAAGAGGAAAAGTCAGACAGGAGCAGTTTCTGTGACAGGAGGGTGATGATGGGCTCTCAGGAGAAACCCAGTGAAGAGCCAGTCGGGGGCTGACAAGCTCTCTCCACCCCTAGAACCTGTGGACCATGCCGACTCATCTAGAACCCCAAAAGCAGAAAGACAGAGGAGGTGCTGAGAGGGCACCTGCACGAAGTGGCTGGCGTGATAGGAACGGGATGGCTGCGAATCAGGCTGCCTCGGGAAGAGCCCCTCTCTGAAATACCCAGTGGTTCCCGAGCCTTCCTTCCCCGCTGATTATATCGTGTACCCTTGTCGTGGGTTGAGTTGTCCTTGGTCTGGCTGTGCCAGCTACTGGACCAGCAGCCCCAAGACTCCTGGCTCCTCCTCCGTGCGGAGCGCAGGCTGGGAAGGGCGGCCGTAGCCTCCCGTGTGGTCATTACCCAGAACACCGCCAGAGACCCCAAAGGCTGCAAACAAAGGCAGATCATACAATTCACGCTCATTTCGTTTGTCCAGCAGCTCTGGAGAAGAAACGGTGAAGGAGAAAAGCACATTCCCAGAGGAGCTAGCACTTTTTTTCCAGTTCAAGACACTATCTAGCTTCCTTCCAAGGAGCCACGGTCACTTCCTCAAGGTGCCAAGCCTAGAGGAGGCCTCATTGATCGTCATCGTCACGTAGACCTGCTATACTCCATGTTTTTCAAAGGAACTTTTACTGGCTGGGCAGGGTGGCGCATGCCTGTAATCTCGGCACTCAGGAGGCTGAGGCAGGAGGATCCCTGTGATTTCAAGACCGGCCTCAAATACATAGCAAGACCCTGTCTCAACAAAACAGTAACAACAACAACAAATGAAGGAACCTTTACGAAGTTCAGGAAAATAGAAAATAGGAAAATAGCAGTTCCTTCTGTAAGGAGTTTCAGGGGTGCGTCTCAGATTTCTGTGAACCTTGGACGCTGATGGATTGTCCGTGGGGAGAGTTAATGAAGGATTGAGTTTGGGGGCTTTCGGCTGTCACCTTCATTTTTCACATTACTATAGTGAGAGTCAAGACAGGAATTTTTTTGCAAGCCTTAAGACACCCAAAGGCTGTGGCATTTGGGGAAAAGGGCCTGGATTTCTCTCCCAAGTACAGCACACCTGTCAGAACAGCTCAAGGTATTGGAGAGATGGCTGCAGCTCTAAAGAAACCTCTTGCTCATCCATTACCAGGAGAACATCTGCTGTACAGCATGCAAAAATGTGTGCCGCCTGACTACAAGGCCCAGAGGCACTGGCACCAGCAGCCACGTGGTCCTTGAGCTGCTGTCGCATTACCCGGCCAGTGTTCCTGATGTTCTCTTCTGCCTGGGAGGGCTGGGGGGGTCTCTGAAACAGACCCACTGGAGAAAAGAACCGTGGAGACTCGTGACCCCCACTTCTTCCCTCACTGGGCAGTGCAAGAGCTGTCCATGGAAACTTGGGACCCTGCTCACCCAGAGCCCCCTCAGTAGGACTCTCCTGGCACCCGCAGGGCCCCAAAAGCTTTTGTCAGTATGCCCACCCTGGCCTGGCTTTGCACACAGTTCCAAAGATGGCCAGGGCCAAAGAGGAACTGCTGTCCCGCACCTTGGCCGCCTTGCGTGAGAACAGCAGTCACTGCTACAGTCTACAAGCCAAGAGGATGCTGACGGGAGACTTACAGAAGGCCAACCAGCAGCCCTCGCAGAACACCGGCTGGGATGTGATTTCACAGCCCATCGGAGCAGAGATAACTGGGACTAAATGTTGTCCTCTCAGCTGATGGGTGGGGGCAGTGTCCTACACTGCACAGTGGTGAGGGGTTGGGAGATGCCCAGAATTTCATCTAGGTTTTGCCTCTTGGCTGCAATGTTCGAGGGCAGTCCCTCGATGAATGGCATGTAAGGGTATGGGTTTGCCTATCCAAGTCCCCATTCTTCGCAGCCTGTGTTTTTGAGCACTCTGAATAAATTAACCCTCTTCCTCATCTT